TCTCACGCACTCAGCTAAAATACTTCCATGATCACGATGGGTTATTTTGCACCTCTTCCTTCATGGTGTTATATGATGTAGGATTAACAGGTGGGGATGCTTTCTTAGCATATCCCAAACGCTAGTAGTTGTGCTGCCTCATTCAGATGTCGTTTCCAACCTTAATGACTAAAATACCTTTCTGCGCTTGCGTAGATCTATTCGCCGATCCACTGATCGTGTTTGGATTGGTAATCAATTACGAATGGTTGACCGAGTTAGGTTTTCTTTCCATTATTGCTTCTGCTTCGGCAATCGTCCTTCCCTATAGTGTCTTAGCTATACTCCCTTGAACATGTCAACAAACTGCTTTGGTCGTTTGCTGGAATGAGGCTGGGCTAGTACAGAATATATTTCGGTACTGTCATGTTGGCAGCAGTAATGACGGGTTTTCTGCTAAGTGAACTGTGTTCTATTGTCTAAAGTCCATTCTGTTGTCCGTGTACCATTGTCTGAACTGGATTCCTTAATATGTGACCAGACACTGGGTCAAGGTGCTGGTAGGAATTTCAGTGGATTTGGATTTCGAAGGATTCTTGACCATGTGTTGGCAATGCCAACGGTTTTTAACAAACTTTGTGGCACCCTTGACTATGCGTGAACAATGTGCTAAACCTTTTACAGTGGACCTCAATGCGATCACTGAATATCAGGTAGCTGTCGGCGAGGTGACAAATTAGTGGAGCCGTTTATTAATGGAATGATGGTATGAGGTCGTCGCTGGGTGAGGAAAGCGCAATTAAATTCCTAAGGAAAAACATTGTGTTTTTTTTGGCTTTTTTGCCTCCCGAACCTCAACAGTAGTCATCTTGTGAATCCAAACAGAAGAGATAAAGTGAGGGCTAAGCCAACCTTTTTTTACATACCAGAAACCGATTGCTGCCATTGCGTGATCGATCTCCTTCCGTGCTATTTAGGTCTGATGACCACCATGGAAAGGATTTGTTTACTTCTGCCACCAATACGGGGTCCCGAGTCTTACTTGAAATTTTAATGAGGCATACCTACACAGTAGAATAGATCACTTTAATGTGTGGCCGGAAATCATGCCACCAAGGCTGAAGTATCCACCACAAGGCTGAGGAGCAACTTTAGTTTAGAAAATACGAGACTATTTAACGCCTCAACTTAGCTTTAAAACCATTATAACATTTTAATTGGAGAGCCCTTTCCCATTTTTGAGTTGTCCGTTAGCACTGAACTTTTATGTTTGTTTATTCCGAGATCAGCAGAACATCTTGCCTACGTGACCACCTTCCTTCCCTCCTTTCGGCATGGGAACTAGTTAAGGTTTGGAAATAGGAGGCTAGGTTCTATTGTTCATACTCCTGCTAGGTCCGGGTCTCGAGGCTGTCATGTATTAGGCACTTTGCTATGCTCTACAGTGGGTGTGTGCGTGCAAGAGCACTGTCGAAACTCTGACTGGCACAAATAAGGGGCCACGATCTAAATACGGACATCTAGGAGTACGGCGTGCGCCCACATCCTGGTTGGCTGAGCTACTGAAGGCTTTGGGTGGTCACTATTTTCACATATTTACATTGTACAGTGACTAGCGGGACATATAAAATGTGTATCCATGTCATATTGATCAGTGAGGGTAACTAGGTAACGGTGCAAATTGATGGACTTTCTGGGATATTTGGAAGCTCAACTTTTGAACAGAAATTTCTAGATCGCGAAAGTGGGAATGTCCCAAGGGAATCGAAGGTAGCTTTACGATACTCATTTGGCTCATTCGACGTCCCAGAAGTATTCGCATTCGTGGTCGAATAGCAAACTTCGAAGACAACCAAACTTCATTTTTATTACTCTTGCAAATCAAAGTGCATATTAGACAACATTTCGTTTAAAATGAAAATGCATGCTTAAGGGAAATCTATTTTTGCAAATGGAGTAAATAAAAGTGAACCATCTTACAGTTTATAGGCATTACGCATCATCAAATCAAAGTACGCATTGTTGTCAATTGATGCACTGACACCGGCATAGTAGTTTAGAAATTCCGATTTCGTAACCTGAAATCAAAAATGACATTTAATTTGTAAATAAAAAGGCACCTTAAATTTGCTACAAAAAAGCAGTATCCAATTTTATCACTAGTATGGATGACTTTTGTGAATTCACTAAATTTGCCGCTCATTTTGTCGAAGGAATGACAAGAAAAAATTGCCTCTAAATTAAAAATGTAGATTCCTCTGGACGCCCAATTCGATTTCGAAAGAGTAATAACATTTTAAAAACAAAAAACAACATTAATAATGCTTTTATTCACAGAGGAGAATTTAGAGAGATAAAAGGCGATACTCTGAACAACAGAGTATGTAAGCTACCGTGGCAACGGCTTCCGACAATGCAGTTGCCGTGGTTACATGCGGATAGTACTCCACAAAGTTACCTTGTATGCTCGAGTAACAAAATCAATATCAAAAGTGACGTCTTGCAAGGGATGATTTTAGTCAGAAGTGAACTTCGTCAATTTGACTGCAACAAACAATAAAATTTTTGAAGAACCCAAGTTTCCGAATCAAGAGGATGCTGCCCAATCATTTTAGTCAAGGGTTTTCCTTTTTTCTTGTACGTTTAGGCAGTATGTTGCGCAGACGTTGGCCCAGCAGTTCGTGATGTCCTTCTCAGCAATGCGAAAAAAAATACTTCCAGTTCCTTTTTAGTTCATTTAGGGATTCATCTGGCCCAATTTAGCATTAACGAATAGGATACTTATTTCTCTTTTGTTGACGACTTGTCCTTGTTCCAATATTTGCCTAGTTTTCCAAAATATATTTTAGCAAGTGGTTTGTTTTGTTTTATAAATTAGCAATTAGTAAGTGTTTATTTAAGCGAAGTGATAAAAATGGGTTCTTACTTTCCCATCAATTTCAGCTGGGGCTTCAAATTTCCTGAGGAATTCCTCAAACACTTGCTCTTCAGTCCATTCACCGTTTCTGTATTTTGGATGAAACTTGCAATTGTATACACCTCGTAAATCCTCCGCCTAGAGTAAGAAATCATTTACTGCAATAATTTTGCGGCAATATCGAAGAACATGCCTGATAACTAGTAAAAAACTATAGGAAGTAGTAAGTTCTGAATTACTTTAGGCCGATTTCTTGATACTCTCCTTCCAAAAATGGAATTTATTTGGGATTTCTTTGTCGTTATAGCTTGTCGTTTAATCAAGTAATTTAACACTTGAATGTACCTGCCCTCTGAGATGGAGCAAATCACATTATGAGCCGGTTATACATCTCCCGAATTCATCGAGTATAGCTTTTTCGAGGAGCAAACAAAAAACCTGGCATAGGAGATGAAATTTTGCAGTAAACTCCCAATCTTCCCTTGACGCAGTCCATTTATGAGAATGAAACAACCAATAAATGACGAGGGCAAAAAAATGCCCATTAACTTCCTAATAAGTACTAAATTGCCATTCTAGTAAAGCAAACTGTTCTTCTTATTGAAGACCCAGTTCATTTATTCATTGCAGCAATTTTGCAACATAATCCTGTTCATATTTAAAAAAGCAAAAGTAGCCCCAACATTCAAAGGCCTGGACCAGGCATTAATGCACCTTATTGATATTAGTTTTGATAAGCATAATTCATTTATGCTAAGCAAGTTACAGATAACTTACAGTGATATAACCATCTCTCGATCTATCCATCTTCATAAACGCCTGATTGATCAAATCTACCCTACATTTGGGCATAGGAGGCTATACAAAACCATAATGACCAAGCAACTTGCATATACACGTAGAGCTTCCAAAAATTCATCAAAGTCTATGTATCCACTCCCATCCTTGTCAAGTAACTCAAAAATCTCCTTAACTTCTTCTTTTGTCAAGTCCACACCGAAATCCGCGCACCCTTTCGTAAATTCACGCAAGTCAAGTAGTTTGTTTCCGTCATCGTCTATAATTCGAAACTGTCTGGAAAAGAAAATGTGCAATATTGCTTTGAAACAGAAAATTATACATCGCACTACTTTACTGTGCACATAGTAGACACATAAAATAGGAAAGCCCGCATTGCATTAATATGAAAGATAGCAAAGAAACCATGGCCTTAAGTGAAACAAAAAATTGTATCATAGTACGAAATACATGAAGCCCTCAAAAAAATGTGCACCAGCATGAATTCTTAGAGGAAAATCACCTGTGCTTACAACTAGAGAATGCAAATGTGTGAATGAAATACAAAACCCTGTGAAACTAAAGTATTTTATATCAAAGGGGTGAGATAGCAGATTCATAGATTTTTACTAAGAATTATGCTATTGCCCTAAAGCCAAATAATCAGTTAGAAATATTAACCTTCCAAGCCCTAAAATACCAGTTCCTCCTCTAGCAAGACATTGAAGACGCAGCTTTTCTAACGGACTTGTGGTTTCTTGTACTTTCTTCTTAGCCTTGAGTTTTAACTGGTAGTCTCCCCTCGAGGTAAGAGCCATGGAGCAAATTTAACACAACGCCTCCGATAACGTTGAAAGCTTAAAACATCTTCCTAGGTCATGAGCAAAAAAAATTATTTATTTAAACCTTGTCTTAAATTTAGCAATTTTGGTGATTTAGCCTTGCTGTGTGTAACAAAGCCCTGCTAAAAATTAGCAGCAGTCTTCATGCAGGATGCCGTGGACTTCCTTATAAGCAGTAGTAATTTAACAACAACCTACCTTACAACCGCATTATTTGCCGCGATGGTGATCAACCTTGAATGCTTACGAATTAAGTAGAAGAACATGATACAAGGGAAAATAAGCCAAGATATTGTTCAGCCGTCAACTCGAAGTGGAATGAAAGTCTCTCAAGCAACGCTTGCTGCCAGAAGACCGCCGACGCAATAACTACATCTAGAGAGACCTCCCCCCTAATTATAAAAAAGGCGTAACTCAACCAACGAGATGCACCCGAACCCAACAGTCAAGCAGTTGTATGCAAAGCTCGAAGGGAGAGCCAATTTTTTTCCCCAAGTTTTCAGATACAGTTGGGGTGAGCGCATCCGGAATAGGGAAAAATTAACATGAAAGACAACGGGAACTGTGCCGCACCAAACAAGAGGAACCCGACGAATCCATGCCAGTTTTTCGACCGGTTTTGAATCCTATTTACAGTCTAATTCGGTGGAATGTGGGTGAGCACGTCAGCCTAAAAGAAAAGTAAAAACGCATATACATAAACAAACTGCCAATCGAAATATGGTTTAATGCAATATCTTCAACCCGAATTACTAATGTTGCTAAATGTAGTTGGTGTCAGCGGTTCCTTAGAATTACAAAAGACTAACTTTTAAACACAATAGTCGGAGTAGCTCTCCATGACACACCTCCTTTTGCAAGGGGGGAGCATCGAAGGTGAGGGATAAAGAAGAGGCAGACGGATCATCGGTTCCTAGTTCACCACTTCCACTGCCATCCTCAATGTCATCGCAACGGAAGTACTTGGCGGCTGAGACACAGAAGAACTTCTCCATGAAGACATCAGAGTCGAGAACAGCGATATGCGCGGCGCGACCGATGAAGTGGTTGGCGGAGCTCTGTACCTCGTAGTGCACATCGTAGCGCACCACTGTGGTACGGCCGCTTTTGATCATCCGCTGAAGAATGTTTGCCACCATCTCCATATATACTATGCCTACGAACAGTAAAAAGGATTTAGGAGTTACCCAGTGACGGAAAATGAAATTTGCAGCTTCTCAGAGGAGAACCGTTAAAAATTAAATTGATACAGGTATCTTATCTATCAACAAACTACAGACGGGGACGAAGACAACGAACCAATTTCGGAGGGATCCTGCAGGGCTGCCCGGCAGAGCTCAATGCGACTAGAGTGATGCGGAACATAGTGGTCCTGGGGGCTGGCGACAAGGAGGACATAGCGGAATCGATCGAATCCCTCTCCCGCGCTGAGCGCGTACATAAAGGTCTCCCGGGGGTCGGGGTTGTCGCGCAGACGTAATTGAAGGAGACTTCGAGACTTTTTCAGCTTCTGTAGAGCCCACATACCCATGGAGACGAGGCCTGAGGTGCTATAGAGTGTGCCCAAGTGGGGACCGCAGAAGGAGAGGAAGGTATGCAACATGGGATAGAGGTGTGCCATTTGTGGACTTGACAGCGCTGCGCGGACTAGCACACAGCCCAGGCTGTGCCCAATAAAGCTGGTCAGTGCAGAAAGACAAGAGACGTAATTAGCAGATGATCGGAAGCTATTCCGAATATTGACTCATTCACAAATTGGATTGAACAAGAGAATAAGCATGAACAATGGCGCAAAACTAAACTTTGTTTTTCACTCAGTAGATGGATGCGATGAAGCCGGTCAACATAGAAGCAGAGCTAAATGTCGAGCAAGAAAAATTAACAAGAGATAGGCCGGTCAGCCAGACAGACAAAGGCAGTTGGCCAAGGTAGACAAACAACCGTGTGATCAAAAAGCATCAGTGACGAAGAGGCCCATAAATGTGAAGGGGAAGAGGGCATAAATTATCGTAGGCAAAAAAGACTTCCCACACCCTCGATGAACATATGCAATGAAGCTGGTCAAAACATAGAGGTAAGGATTAATTATACGCTGATCAGAAGACAGGGAGAGCCTAGACACGTCTATCCATTACTGATGTGTCAATAATGACATGCTGGGTGAAATGAGTTTAAGTGGGGTTTAAAAGCTGGATTCCCACTCATAAATCGAGCTTTTATGAAGTGAAGCCTCAAAATCAGGTAAAAGTAGTACAGATCACAAATAAAGAGCATTGTATCGGCTAAGAGGATGCATTAAAATCTATGCATGTGCACAACGGTATACATTTTCAAAATTCCTACAACTTGTAAGCCATGGTAGTGAGTTATATTGAAAATCTCACGACTTTTATCCGTCTTCTGAGAATTTGATAATGACTACTTCCGCATAGTTAACTAGTTGCCCCTACGGTTTGGTATAGGAGTTACCACCTTGGGGTGGAGATAGCTACGAAAAATTGTGCTTAAATGATGGCAAACAGGAAGCTACACCACACTGTTACACGCAGAGTACTGTGGGTGCCTGGAGTACAAATTCATTTCTGTCGGCGTGTGTGCATAGTGGGGAGGGGGGGGGGGGGGGTGAAGTTCTCCCTTGTACAATTGGCGTCTATAAACGGATTATAGAGTTCGAAATTAATTATAATAATGAAACGAATACAGAGCGCTCCAAAAGTCCAGTTGATTTTAATGATAACTACAGAGAATGAATAAAAAATCCTAGTGATGAGTAACGGAAACAAAAGAGAATTAAAGGTGGACCGACCTTAAGTTGAGAGAATTTGGATGGATTCCAGGTAGCTGTCCACGCAACAGCTAACAGAGAGGCACGATTGCAAGAGATAAAGTAGGTAGATCAAAAATGAACCAAACGACAAGAAAATTAGGCATGCTAAAATATGTATAATAACTGAATATTTTGAGACAATCGAACGCCAGCCAGTAAAGAGGAGGAAACAATATTTGTTCCACTTCCATGGGCATGCAAAAGGTCCAAAGAAAATTGTCATTCCCATAAAAATCTTCAAATGAGCCAAACAAGTATACCATTTGCCAGTAAATGTCATACCCACCAGTATTTTGCTGAGAGTGAATCAGACAAAACGGATTCCAATAAGTTAGGCACTCAATAAGTCTTCAATTCAAGTGAACTACTAGTCGTTAAACATACGGTGCCCGAGTTTATTTTCAAACACCAGCAGGAAAGTAAGGTAAGACGTAATTATCACTTCATTGAACAAATAAAACTTCCAAAAAAAGATCAAAAGATCATCCATCCATCTACTTCTTCATATATGCAGTCCTGATACACTTATAAACTCACTTGTCTAGCCACACAACGAGTGCTATAAAAATTGATAAAAGGGGCCAGAACCCATTAAACTTACTCTGATCGTTCCAACAAAGATCCATTTACTCCTCCACCCATCCACCAAAGGCAAGACCATTGATGTAGGATCAATCCATGCTCCAGGCATTTATCCAACCACACATAAATTTTGAACCTATTCCTCCATCCTGGATCTGACTATCCAAACCCGAATTAATGCTCCCATCTACCTATCTACGCACTGAACTCCAACCCATCCACTTAT